CTATATTTAAAGAATCTCAAATATCTCATAATTAGCTTGATAGATTTTTTCAAAAATCCCTACAGATTGAGGCATCTAGTATATAATTATGTGGTACGAAGCATTTTAGTGTTGAACGCTCTGCAAGGCTAAAATTATTTTCTAAACGAAAACAAATATTTCATCATAATCACGTGTTATGACGTCCGATCTCATTAAAAATTGCATCAAGCATTAATTCAATCTTTATGTGACTTATGTGCAAAAAAGATTTGCAATCGGATAAAACACGTTTATGCCCCAGCGTTCCAAAAGTGGAAGGTAGCGGTCAAGCTTGAGGGGGTCCAGCCACCTTAACCTTTATAGTTCGGCTACTAAACGTCGCTAAATCTTGTTGCTAAGGCATGCTTTTTGCAATAAAATGGTTTAAAAATATATCTTTTGTATCCTTTATGAAAGGGTATAAAAGGTTCGAAAATGGTTCAAAATCGGTCACAACCCTGAGCTATAGTCCATGTTTTCTTCTCAAACGTGGCAAAAATAACCTTTTTCATTTCTTCGTAAATAATGGCAATTTTTCAAAAGGTGTGAAAACACAGGCAGCCCAAGCACTGCAATACAGTGCATATAACAGTCAAAATTCGAATCCTTTAAATTGCAGTTTATTTGAATGAAAACGACTTACCTTGATACCTTGTTGTGTCTTTTATTACTTGGCCGGGTTTGAAGACATTTGGGCGCATTTTCACTAGGTTATCGAATTTTTTCCCTCTACTATAAATAATCCCAAGGCCGAACACTCTTTTAAAAGACCACCAAACTCAAGTCCGAGCTCAATAAATCTTAGAAAAATTGAGCCACGGCCACAATTTTCAGGCACAGCCAAGAAGAAATGCCAATGCTTCCTTCCAGTACGATCAAAGGGCCATTCCTGCTAAAAATAACCATGCTAGGACGAAAATTCTTCCATAATAAAGCCACTTTTCATCCAACGGCTCGATATAGACTCCATAGGCACCTCCAAGCGCGAATAAGCCTTTTCATAGTTTAAGAATCGATTCCACTGCGCATGCGATTTTATCCCGAATTTCTCACCTTCCTTTGTCTAAACCTTCTTTTGTTCTTAATTAAACAAAAGAAGGTGAAAAATTCGGGATAAAATTGCATGCGCAGTGGATCGATTCTTAAACTATGAAAAGGCTTATTGTATGACGGTCACGCTTTGTCACTCTTAGCCGGGTAGGCAGAGTCAGATTTCGACAAACAAAATCATTCAATAACGGGGGGTCACCTTCGTCGCTTCAGTTTTCTCTCGGCCAATCAAACCCAGCAGAAATCGTATTCAAAAATTGAAACGGCTTTTCCCTACTCGAATGATCACCAGATCGAAAACCTTGTAGATTCCTAGCCTCTCTTATGGCCTACCCGGCTAAGAGTGACAAAGCGTGACCGTCATACAATTCGCGCTTGGAGGTGCCTATGGAGTCCATTCTTCGTTTGCACGTGACGTCATAGAGCAAGAAAATAACAACTTAAAATTAATCATGAATGTTATAAACTCGATTCTTTGATATTGTTTAGAGAACTATGATGTGACTAAGCGTAGAAAATTTCAAACCGTTTCATCGTTTTGTTTCCGAGTTGTGCGAATCTTATTTTGTGGTCTGGTGGTCCTTACGCTGAACACGTGTCTGAAAATTCAAAGAAATAAAGATATTTTTGCCAAATCAAAAATTTTTAGTGTTGTACAAGTTTTAGTGTTGTAAAAGTATAAGTTTAATTTTTTTCCTGAAATTATGGCCGCCATGTTGGATGACACTAGATATCATCCAGCAAGTTTTCGCCATACATTTACACTATAATAGCTCATAGCTCATAGCTCGTTTTAGAAATTCTATAATGCTCCAATATTTTGCTCAGAGTTGTATTATAAGTAGCTCTACATGGTCATAAGGATTGTTTTTTGATTAGAATCAAAAAGCACTTTAGCACCAGCAAAATACACGTGGTTGCGAACGAAGAATAGTGGAGGGGAAAAAAACCCAGTGAAAATGCGTTCAAATGTCCTCAAACTCTTTTTCAGTCTCTATAATTGATTGTTATCTTATGACAAGGTGAGAAAATGGTCCAAATTCGATCAAAACTATGGGCACACTATGACACACTAGGTCGAGACACACTGGGACGGGTGATAGTAGGTCGTGACACACTAGATAGGGACACACTAGGTCGAGACACACTAGGTCGGGACACACTAGGTCGAGACACACTAGGTCGGGACACACTAGGGAGGACCTGATCTTGCATTGTTCCTAGTGAAGTGTCACCTAATTTGTCCCCGCCTATAGAAGGTAAAACCATACACTCTCCTTGTCATTCTAATTAGTTTATGCATTCTTTTCTTACAAGTGGAACCTGATTTGTGACCGGGCTTTCTTGGCTGCTATAGTACAGTCCTCCTACTTTGTGGGGATGCTGATTGGTTCGTTTGTGACAGGAATGATGTCTGACGCCTGGGGACGAAAGAAATGTATTTTTCTTTGCAATGCTATTATGGTAAGTTCAGTTGTGTGTTTTTTGAATTGGTAATAAATATCAGGGCCCTGTTGCACGAAGGGTGAATAGCTCTAACTGCCAACTACACCGCTGATCACCACAATCATCGCCACCACCAGTAAACACCATCATCACTACCTACTCCACTTATCATCATTGCCACCACCAGTAATCATCATCATCACTACCTACACACACACCACTAATCATCATCGCCACCACCAGTAAACACCATCATCACTACCTACACCACTTATCATCATCGCC